AACATGAAGTAAATAAGACACAAATTAGAGTTCACAAATTCGATTATCAATTCGATCATTAACAAATACATGATATCTTAAAGTTTGGGATCAGAGACTCCATCTAACTCTAATAATTATCCAGGTTAAATGTTTCATAATCGTATAACTAAAGTTAAAACCCTGTACAACGAACCTCTGTTATAACAAATGACCTTCTTTGCCCTCAATTAAGCATAGCGAAATGTATCGAATACCCATTGAACGCACTCTCGTCATAACAAACGGCGATTTTTCTAGTCGCGCTTCCAGGTGTCAAGGTACTTTTTAATGTAATATATGCCTACAGCATACTCTCTTTTCCTTACTTAGGAGAAGTTTAATATCGACTACAGTTGCTGTCGTTACGTTCAACTCTTAAATTATTTCCTCTTCGGAGAACCTTGTGGTTGTTCCTTTATTTGTTAAAACAGATAAAAGAATGGTTTATATTAACACCGCCTGCAGGACCCACACTGTTATTTTTTTAAGACGACCTTGAGGCAAACACCAATGATGATGATCACTACCATCGCGCAGCCAGCACCAATTCCTCCTTTTTCTCCACCACTGAGACCTAAAGGTATGAAAATATGCTTTTAGTAGTTTCTGGATAATCAAAAACAAACAACGTCGCCCTAGACAAATTCAGCAGGGTTGTATCAGACTTCAGAGCTAGATCGGGTTGTTCGAAGCTGGGTTAAGATAATTAACCCAGGGTTAGAGAGAAATTTGAACTCAGCTATAAGAGCTTAAAAAGCAAATTCAATTTAATTCTCTTTGCCTACAATTTGAGGACTGGATACTATAAAAAGAATAGAGAAAATTATCCGAGGGAATGCTTTGAATAAAAAGAAAAAGAACCCCGGGTTAAAATTTAACCCCAGGTTAGCCCTAACCGGCGTTCGAACAACTGGTCCCATTCCACTACCGCATGGTGCACATTTGGAACAATCTAGACAGTACTCTTAAAACTGCAAAATCGATTTCTACTTTTAAATTTTGTCTGAAAAATAAGTTGATTACTGACTTTTTCAATAGCACGTTATGATAGTATTTTAGTATCTTACTAGTATCTTATTTTATTTTAACTTAAAATATGCATATTGTATAGTACGTAGTGAGAATATTTATTATACGATTAATTCTTAAATAGGTATGTTTGTATTGCTTTGTTCACCGCATTCTTTCCTTTTAATCGAATTGTTAACTACTTCTCTTATCTTAATTAGTTTTTTTTTTAGTCGCATTGTCACTGAAAAGCCCCACCAGGGGAGTATCAATAAACTATTGTATTGTATTGTATTGTAAACGAAAACAAAAACAGAGAATTTTCTTTTGTATAGAGATAAAATTTCTATTTTAGCCAGGGCTAAAAGCGAAGCTCTGGTATAATATTTATAATTTAAATCAAACAGTTAACTCGTAATCTACAAGTCACTTCATTTTAGAGATCGATATGACTTTTCGGAGGAAGCGGGGGCTGGGTGATTTTAGAGAAAATATAATTTCCAAACAGTCGAAGAATGAAACAAAACTTACATCGAGTTAATAGTCTTGTACACCCAAAACACCGCAAGGTAAACTCGGGTTCCGAAAGCCGACGAGTCTGTCGTTAGAAGAAAGTAGCCGTGAATTCTTTATATTTTAGGTAAGCTTAATTAGTTTAATTTTTTCAGCGAGAATAGAAAGTGTAACTGAAACTCATAAACTTCATTAAGGCGTTATACAGGGCACGAGTTATGTATAAAGAGTAATATACTGCCAAATTCTTGAATGGCAAGTAATGAATAAGAAAATAAATAACGATTCAATGGAACAAGTACAAGAACAACACCATCAGGTTCAACGTCTGATTATTCTCGTCCCTGGAGCGACTCGGCTTAATTTGTAACCAAACCACGTGACCAAGAAACGATGAGTTCTGGAGATGAGAACGCTCGTCTGATCTGTTTCTAAAAATATCAAAGATTCTCGATCTGTGGTCTCACGATCGTGTTTTGAGCTAATGTTATGAACGAACAATGACAGATAAACCATTTCTTGAAAATTTGTATTTGAAGACCCATCAGTTAATAGTTAAAAGCAATTCGCGTAACACTAACTGAACCGTGAATCCGTGGCAAGTTAAATCGGCTGAGCACATGGAAAAATTCCAAATAAAATCAATTTCCATCAAGGTGGCCCGACCCAGTATTTTTGCAGGTACACCTTCCATATTTGAATCTCTTAAACGACGACAAATTGATCTTTATCGTAAAAACATTATAGCATATGTATGACACGCACCGTGAATAATCGATTAAGTATTAAGCGCCGAGGCGCTTATTTCATTTTCCTTGTTATAGGTGCGGCGCTTGTACTAGAGCGGAGCTTATTTCAACCAAGGGTAAAACACTGAGGGGAATATAGAGAGAATTAACTGAGGCGCGTACTAGGTATGCACAATTTAATACAAAATACGTACACCTCGAACTGTTATATGAACCTGGTTTCAAGAGCTTCCCTGCATAAAAACTTTAGAACTCACGAGTTGCTAGTTGGTCGAGGTCATTTCTCAGACGATATGGTTTTTAATCTCTTTATATCGAGATCTGTAACAAAGGTGGGGAGTTTTAACTTAATTTGTAAATACCAAAACTAGCGCCGCGGCGCTTATTCAAGTAGCGGCGTTTAATCAGTCATTTACGGTTGACTTAACTTTGTTATGATGTTATTTTTTGGGTGATCGGATTTCCTATTGTCTTGAGTTTAGCATAAAATCTATTTAATTCTCATGCAGCACGCGAGAATTTACCGCACTTGGTTGCCCTCTGAAATCTTTCCGAAATATGGTAATGCTTTAGAATGGGAGCGCAACGAAGCGCGGTAAATTTTCGCGTGCTGCATAGGTATTAGATGTTGTGCTAAACTCGAGCCAATAGGAAATCCCACAGCAAAAACTTAGCCAGATCTATGACATCGCTTCAATATTTATTCAATTTTGCGCCTACATGAAATTCGGGGGTTTTATAGTACACTGATCAATTGTAGCACTGAAATGTTTCAGATGTTTTAAAGAAAATCTTTCGACGAATTTTGTTTTCATCGCTCTTTTCGTGGAAGTAGCTTAGAAGACAAAAAGAGCTCAGCATTGTGTTTTACTGTTTCACATGCTTTCATGTTTTTTTTTCGAAATCGCTCAAGTCTACTTGCTTTCAGCCGGTTGTAAAGTGTATAAAGGTCATTTGTAAAACTAATGAGTGATAAAAATTTTTAAGTCCAGCTATCAGTTTTTGATAATTTATACCTTTTGGTAGAAATTCGAAGATGTCTCGAAATTCCTCTTAAAGTATAATAGGTAGTGTCAAGAGACTATAAAGGGGACAGAGAGGGCATCCCCCATATACACCCTATTCCATATATAGGTAATTCGTCTCGAGTTATTTTTAGAATCGGGATAAAGTTACCTCGCCCGAGGCGTGGATGTTTCGTGAAGGTTTCGCATGACCAAACGCCGTGCAAAACATGTCGGGCAAGAGGCAATGAAAGCGTAAAAAGATCGAGAGCATTCCTGAATATTGAAGCGAAATGAGTCGGCGCTCACCTGGGAAAAAGGAATCGCTGGACCCTTTGACAACCCGTGAAACCAGTTTAACTCGAAGTTGTCGTAACCTCAGTGCTTTAATAAAATGAGAAATTTCGCCGGTCTATTGAAACCGGTCGTTTGTACAATTTAGGGAGTTTAAGATCCAACGACGCGGACGACAACTAAAACGTCAAAAAAACAATAGGTTTAATTAGCAAAACAACAACTTCGCACGTGCAACACACTTTTTTGTTCATTTCTTTCCCGTTTTTGCACGACTACGACGTGAAAATGCCTAATTTCGCGTTTTATGGAGGACGTAAATAAGCAACGACGAAATTTTATTTCTCTTTCTGAGCTTGAATATGGTCCCTTGAAATTCAGCTTTAAGGGTTCGCCTACAATTGACAAAGTAAGTGGGTAGGAATAATCGCTATAAAGACTGAAAAAAATAAACATCAAACCAGAAATTGCTCTCTTCAAACTGTAAATTATAAATGATCCTGAGAGAATATTCAGTGTGTTAAGGATTTCCCTGCTCTACTGTTAGCTCTATACAAGAGAGGAAGGGCGATTCTTTTTTAATTTCGGTTTCGCTGACACAGCTTTCGCAGAAATCTCGCTGTAGTCGTTTTCGTCTACAAAAGGAATAGCAAAATCGCTCTCCGCGTTTTCCCCCATTTTGTTCTGCGTCATTTCGTGAAGGACGCGTGGCTCTCAGCGTGGGTCATCCACGCGGAACACATTCGCGCTATGTGATTGGCTGTTGTCTAATCCCCCTTGAGATCTGTGGTGCTAAAAATAACTCGAGACGAATTACCTATGGAAAAGGGTGTATATGGGGGATGCCCTCTCTGTCCCCTTTATAGTCTTTTGGTAGTGTAAAGCATTTCCAAAATGAAATCAGGAGCACCCAACCAGAATATACAGTCGACTCCCGATAACTCGAACCCTTGCTAACTCGAACCTCGCCCTAACTCGAACCAAAATCAATTTCCCCTGGATTTCCGTCATACATTTACTGTAATTTTACCCTCGGTAACTAGAACCCTTGATAACTCGAACTCCCGCTAACTCGAACCAATTTTCGTTTCCTCTCAGGTCATTTTCTATATAATTTTACCCTCGATAACTCGAACCATGTTTTGAGCCCTTAAAAAGACGGGAAAAAAGCGGTCTACTGGCGTCCGAAACATTGAATTTTGGATTTCCTACTGACGCGTTGTAGGAGCCGAGATAGTTTACTAGTGGAGGCTGATGTTGATTGTCACCTGAGGCTAACTGAAGCAGTTTTTCTACTCAAAACAGTAAAACGCATGCTCTATTTAGGCTATGTTTTGTTACGTTACGTTCTGATTTATAATCCAGAAGTATCCTTTAATTTTCACTTGACATTTCTACAATTAAATGTGATTAAAATGTTCACTGTACAGTAAAAACTGTTTTTTTACCTCACTCTCGGCTATTTTCTTCGAACTCCCGATAACTCGAACCTTTTGTTCGGGAGTCGACTGTAGTTCAAAAACATAGCATTGTTGAACGTATTTTAGTATTTTAAACGGTAGATATAGGCATATTTTTATCCCCTAAACATTTTTCATCTGTTCGGATTTCCTAGCTGAAAGTCTAGTGATCCAAAAATTATAGGGATCGAAACTTACCTTTTCGAAAATTTCAGCCAGAAAAAAGGCTCCCTAAAATTCTAGGTGACCTTTTTAGGGTAAAAATCCGTTAAAAATGGGCAATTATTCCATTTTTTAGATGTTCGAAAACGGAAGAAAGAAAGTTTACAAAGTTTACAGCAAGCAAGAAAGTTTACAACAAATGTTCCGAACATTCTAGATCTCAAATCGTCTTCCAAACAGGTATTTTCCTAGTGCCCCAGTGAAATGCCGATAAGGGCAGAAATTTGATTTAGAGCTAAAACTATTGTGACGTCTTTTTCACGAGATATTGATTCCGATCGCCCAAAAATTAATATCATAAAAAAGTTTAGTCTATGTGTAATAAATGTGTTATTAACGATGAGTTTTATTTGTTTTCAAATCGTTAAACAAATCGTATTAGAGATTCAAAGATGGAAGGTGTCACTACAAAAATACTGGGTCGAGCCACCTTAAATCGGGACACATTTTGTGGTTTTTCTTTCACGCAGATGTCAAAAAGCACAAAACGTCCATCACTTCATGTTAGACCTAGAACAAGGATTTCGGGGCTGTTTCGCCGACGGACTTAATTTAGTTTCGTCTGTGGCGAAGGCTAAATGAGAACTATGCCACCCCGCGGTATTTTTATATTCATACGCCCGCTCGATAATCTCTGAAAAGAAAACTAACTAGAGGGTCTGTGAACAGACTAACTGCCGACCAGGTTCTTTGGTACTAGGAGGGAATTCAAACCACAGTTCAATTTAATATATCGGTGCAAAATGACAACACAAGAATTGAAACAAAACGAACGAAAAGGAACCTCCATCTACACTGCGTTGAAAATCCCCTCCCTTTCTAAACATCGCTCCCCCTTAGCCATAAATAACAAAGTTACAGTCCCTGAGCGCTAATGTCGTAAAAAGCACTTCGATCTCCTGCATTTGTGGTACTAGAATTAAAACTTGAGTTATTCGGTTTAATACTGTTGCAGTGCAGTAACTGACCACTGCAGAAGGAGTTATATGGCCCCAAGAGAAACTGATACAATGTTTATGCAAAAGTTTGGAGTGACCAACAAAGAGTATTTTGGTATGTTATGGCATTTTCTGCAGTGGTCAATATGTTTATGGCACGTTAACATTTTAAGTAGCCTTGCGTATAAATGCGGGCTGTACCAAATACACAAATTAAATTCATAACCAATGCTCCATGACTGCATCAAAATACTGCAGTAAGGTTGGGCTCAAGAAGAATCATATAGAAGGCCCAAAGGAAGCCAAGCAATTAAATCTGGGATACTCCGCTCTTACTGGTACACTGCATTTTCATTTTTTTGCTTCTTTTAAGACATTATCTGTTTAAAATTTCAAGACCCGTCACCATAACGATAAATTACGCCAGGACCTCTCCTTTTTGCAGTGGCTAGAATTTTAGGTCCCTCCAATTTCTTACTCATTCCCATTCCTATAAATAATTAACGTTTCCTAAGAAAACTACGCGTAATCGACGGGAAAACTCTCACCTGTACATCTGCTTTTTCTACGATAAGAAACCTAAGTCGCCTTCTAGTATGTTGTTGTTTGACTTAAGTGTGATTTGTCGCGTAGTCAAACTATAAATACAGGCTGCAACGCAAGATTTGTTCTTTACTTTCAAAGCCATAGTCTCAGTTTCTTTTACTTAATTTGTTTCAGTTTATCTTGTATGCACAGTGAGAGATTCTGATACGAGAGTCTTATGGAGGCTTTTTGAGCTTTTTCATGTACCTTGCATGAACATAATGCTCTCAATAATTATCTAACAAAAATCTTCGAACTGTGTTTTTGTACTGAAGAATACCCAAAGTGTGTATCAAATGCTTTACTGTTTTACTTCTTACCTTTCTTCCGTTTTTTCTGACAGCAGACTCCAGAATAGTCTTTATGGCAAAAGCATGTTCCTTGTTGTAAATTTCCTCCATTCAGACAGCTGAGTTCCGGACAAGCTCGCGTTTTTCGAAGAGTTGACGAGCAGGTTCCGCCACACTGTTCAGTTATTACTCTGTGACGGGTGCTGGTTTGAATGCCAGAAACGCCGCAGGCTGTCGAGCAGGCACCCCACGTAGACCAAGAGCTCAGCTGACAGTTCACTGATCGTGTACCATAGCATTGCCGTGTTTCCTCTGAGGTAGGACATTCTGATCCTCCACAACTCACCTCAGTGATTTGTGATCTCGTCCGTCGTTGTGATCCTTGTTGTCCACATTGTTCAGCACTACAAGAGCTCCAAGAAGACCAAGAACTGACTTCACAATCGCGAGGACTACAGGCTCGACGGCGACGACGTCTACTAAACCAGGCGTCAGTTTGAAGGAAACAATAAAAAAACAGCAAAGCGAGAGCTTTGTTAACAAACTTCATTCCGAACTTTTTCCTGGATGCGTCTCACGGAAGTAAAACACAGTTAAGGCTCAATTTCAATTTTAGTTCTCATCCTAACAAGAATGCGGCACTTTGACATCATCACTAGATTATACTGACCAATGAAAATGTTTCCCCCGTTGCAAAGTCCAATAAAACACGTGCCAACGCTGATCCAAACTACCCAGGAAATGCTTTTGATTCCTTCCACACCAAAGGTTAATCTGCGATGATTCAACCGCACTACTCAATAAACGAATACTTAAAAAGTCGCGTCTTCTAAGTTCTATGCCCAATTCTACGCACGCTTTGATTCAATATAGATGGCACCCCACAAAGGCTCCCTGTTAGCCTAACCTAACTTTGTACGAATTGCGAAGAGTTTAGAAGGATAAAAAAGGGATGAGACAGGAAAGGTTAGCCGATGACGAGTACGAAACACCAAGATTGCGTGAGACTAGGAAAAATCTGGGGAGACATCACTGATAAAGTAAAAATATTTTCTGAGGTGCTGTACCAACTCCTGTAATGGTAACAAATATAAACCAGGCCCCAGTTGTTCAAGAAGTGGATACCACTAGCACTATAGACTGTTCACAGTCCCCTATGTTTTCGTGAGATTGTCGAGATATAGCGCGTCTTACCATTAATGGCGGCCATCTTGATTTTCAAATGTACCTTTTCAAATAGCTCGCTTGCTCTCAAACCACCCCCGCCCCCCAAGTAGACAGTCATGAGAAGATGGCAGCCCGTAACACAAAGCGCTCGATCTCGACAATCTTGCGGACAAATAGAGGACTGTGAACAGTCTAATAGCACTATACATCGGATAAATCTCTGTCCAGTGGTTAGTGCAATTGGTTTCCCTAATTCTTATCCGCTGGATAGCGTTATCTATCTTTTGAACAACTGGGGCGTGATGATTTCGAATGAAGTATCAGTAACTTTGTGTATAATGGTCAAAGTCTCAGCGCTTCTTTTGTTTGTTTACTGGTTGGGTTAATCAAGTATCCCATTTTGTGAAAGTGATAAATATAAAAATTTTTGATATATTTAAATGTAAGAGAAAGATTTAACACTTGAGAGATCATCGCAGTTGTTCCAGGATTGACAGCTCAGTGAAAACAGCGCTGCACTGGTGGCGTAGAAGTTCGAATTCCGTTCAAGCCTGATCTTCTTTCTCAGGCCTACTTAATCAAACCTCGATGTAACGAACCTCTATGTAGCGAAGTCCTCGTTATAACGAACGGTTTTCATTACCACACTTATAGTAAAATACATGGAAAATAACCTCGATATAGCGAATGTACACTTTGTCAGTCCCTTGGCTCTTCGTTATATCGAGGTTTCACTGTACGTCACTCCGACGATGTTTTATACATTGAATTTTCCTTTTCTCTACAGAAAGAGAAAAGGAAGAGATGACAGATGAATTTCAGCTGTTCAAAGCGATTTCAACCAGACAGCCAAAAAAAAACTGTTTTTATTGCGATAATAAGGATAATTCATTTTAAGTTAACAAAAACGTGTAATTTTATTTAGATTTTAACAAAAATAACTACACTTGTTACGCTTGGAACCACCAACACATTGATTAGCTGGTGTGTATAGAGTTTTCCTTTGAAGACTATTAAAACTGGTTGAAGTTGTCTTTAATTGAGTGGTAAGATGTGTTGTTGCCAGTGTTGCAGCTTCACCCCAAGCACAACGCACTCCGTAATGTAAATACGGTGAGATGTAAAGAGCGCCGGATATACACAAAGAAGTACGTACGTGATGTGGAACAAAGTGTCTGTGCTTCGTAATAATGCCGACTGCTGTATTACTTTTTTTTATGACAGAAGTAATCTATATGATGCTTCCGAGAGAGATTAGAATCAAAATATAAACCATGTAGCGTTGGACTAGTGTTTGAGTTGTTGTCATTTATTTTCACGTTAGGATAAAATGAAAGAGTTGACGTGGACGGAAAATAATGTAATTAGATATTTCCACGTTCTAAGTCAATTTATTAAGGGCTAGCGAGGAAACAATGGAGAGCTCTCCATGAACTTACTTACTAGTTTTTTTTTTTATTTTTCATTATTGTTTGCACAGGTTACGCCAGTATCATCGGCAAATTTCTTATGAAGTTTCAACCATTACCTGCGAGGAAGAGAAAAAGCTGCCTTTTTACCTTTACAGTTTTTTTTTTGTTCCGAGCCAGCTAAGCAACAGTAACTTTTGAATATACCAGCCGTCAATTTCTGTCACCAGAGTCAAGTACGCGTTGCAAACAATTCAAGCAAAAGAATGTACTTCCGCATTTATGCGTTTCCTCGTGTCCTCTTTCTCAACGACACTTGGTGAATAAGCCATCAACACAATCCCAAATGCGGCTGATAAGTTGCAACCGCGAAATTCTCTTCTTCATTTAATTCTTGGTATTACCCATCCACTTGATTTATCCTACCGTGCGTCGTCCTATTACTACTTCCTTGTTTTGCCTTCAGGGGTCCGTTTCTAGAATGTTCCGTTAGCTTTCGAGCCCGCAGAGCAGTTTTATGTTTGCTATGACGTGTTTGCATTCAAGATCAAAATGTCAATAATTTTGAAAACGATGCAATGAAACTCTCAGTTAACGAAGCACAGTGACTGGTTTGTGATCCAGGAAATGTACTACAACTCAACAGGTTTCGATTCTAGAATCTGTCTTCGGGCCCAAAATTTAACGGGTCTTTTGAAAAACGGGCGGCCAGGGCCGGAGTAATACTATCTTTTCAACATGTGGTAAGACAGCATATGTGATCCCCAGGGTAATGCTTCATACAAGCACAGTTATTAGGTATCTTTAAGCGTGCTTTGTAGAAAACCCGGTAAAAAATCACAGATGAAAACAACAGTGCTACATTTTATGTTTGGAACTCAATGACTGTGCACAATGTTTTGTTTTTGTTTTCAAGTTCTGCCCGAATGAATTGATGAGGTTTCTCAAGATTGGCCAAGATTCACTCCCGTACCTTAAATTCCCGCCTCACCAGATTTTTTCCTTGGCTTCCTCCCCTGAGTCTCGATTTAGCCCTTGTAGTTTGCGAAATCTTGAGTATTGTTGCGTAATCATGTTCCCCCCGCTTCCCCCTATTTCCCACTCTTTTTAGAACTCCCACCTCCCGCCCTTTCCTCTCCCTCCTCTCGTACACCTCCCACCCCCTTTTCACCCGGGCCCCCACCCCCAGTCCTCTTCGACTGCCTCTTAATAATTGCAGTATATCATTTTTCATTCTTGTCAAGGCTTTTTAGAGCCAAATTTGTGGTAGATTTTTTTCTTTTTATCATCTCTATTTAAGACTGAAGTAAGTGACATCTGAGATTAGATTAACCTTGGAGGCAAACCGAAGCATTCCGCCTTAGACTAAGAAGCTGGGAACATGTACTGGGATATTCTTGTTGGATTAAATGCCTGGCATAAAACGGGGTATGGAATTTTGGTTCAAGTCTTAAATTCAAGTCATTAAATTCAGGTCTTAAATTGGATGAATACAACACATTCTGAACTGAAATAGGGTGACAACTCCAAGAAGTATGTCAATCTCTCCCCCCCTGAAGTTGTCAGAGATTTCACAATTCCTTTGTTTGGGTATTATATTACTTCCTTGTTTGTAACTTCAACTGCCAATGACAGCAACGCACATATCTGCTTACATAGCAACGTTTATAAATGAACAAAGCCAAGCGAGCAATCTCATAATCGACGCCCAAAACGCCCGTTCAGAATGGATTATGCTAAGATGGCCATTTTTATTTTGCTAGCTTTCTCCTGCCTAAGTTACACCGACGGCGGATGTATTCCACAGGATTGTCAGGTGAGTTCTTGGACTTTTTGGAGCTCGTGCCATGGTGAGCGATGCGGTGGACGAGGAGTCCAAAGACGAACAAGATGGAAAGACACCGTCCCAAGCTGTGGAGGATCAGAATGTCCGATTTTGGAGGAAACACGGTCGTGTGGCAGTGAACTCACAAGCTGCCTCAACGGAGGGCGTTTGAATGACAATGGAACATGCTCCTGTGCCGACGGCTATTCTGGACAATGCTGTGAAGTGAAACCTGACGGTATAGTCAGAAAAAGTTTTCTTTGCTTGCACAAAAATTTTAAATCTATTAATCTCTATCTCAAATTCGTATTCACTCTTTCTTATTCATTTGGAACTGAAAAGATAAATACGTTCATAGACCCTTTTAGTTCCCTCGAAAACTCATACCCGATTCCAGACCAAAATGGGCGAAGTCTGTATCAGTCCGAAATGGCGCAGAAACCCTACCCTTTGGGGCAGCACATACCTATATGTATATGATTTATAGAAGAAAGTACCCCTCGTTGGAATATATAACTTTCGAGGATTCACTGATCTCGTTTTAATCCATTTTGTCTCAGTTCCTACGGCTACACACAGCACTATTCGCTAGGCGTTTCTTGCACAAGCATCCTTGCCACAATGCTGTCTCAAAATTGTGAATAATATTTGAATCGAGATTCGAAGTCTTTATTTCAGACTAAAAGAAGCAAAACGTTTTATTGGGGGTTCTAATAAAGACCGAAGTTCTTACTAGTCGCGAAGTCGTGTGCAAAGTCCCGTGCGCGTATAAAGGTGGCTTAGGCGCCCACAGAGACTTACGCTTTGTCGATCACGTGTTCTTGCCCACTGAATCCTTTTCCTTTGTTTGCAAATCACGTGCAAATTATTATCGAAGAACCAATTGGCGCCAATACATTGTTTAATAAAAGGCAATCATAAGTAGAAAATTAATTAAGTGTTGACAGGCCAAACACGACACAGAAGCCCGAGATAGTGATACCTGGACTTCGAGTTTTGCTCAAATAAGAATATCTTTCAGAGATTTTCATTTTTATATGGGATAGAGCGGAGGGTCTTCGCATATGCCTCTTAAAGGTTGGATTTTTAGATGCCATTTGCTCATAAAGGTGTTGTTAGGCAATGGCAGGCCCTATGGAAAGCCATAACTTTGTTATGTGGTTATTTATCATTATGTGGTGTGGTTACTTCATTATGCCTTGTAGTTTCTTCATTATGTCTCGTGGTTACTTCATTATGCCTTGTGGTTACTTCATTATGTCTCGTTGTTACTTCATTATGTCTCGTTGTTACTTCATTATTTCTTGTGGTTACTTCATTATGTCTTGTGGTTACTTCATTATGTCTCGTTGTTACTTCATTATGTCTTGTGGTTACTTCATTATGTCTTGTGGTTACTTCATTATGTCTTGTTGTTACTTCATTATGTCTTGTGGTTCCTTCATTATGTCTTGTGGTTACTTCATTATGTCTTGTGGTTACTTCGTTATGTGGTTTGTTCATTATGTGACGTGGTTTCGTCTTTATGTTTTGTTGACTTTACTTCCGGTATGAAGCTCTAGTACCCAGGCTTTACTCCTTACCAGGAAGTAGTTAAGCTTTCAGTACTGGGAAACTAAACATGCCTATAAATGACTTTCATTCAAGAAAATGCCAGTTAATTCTTTTACATGGTTGTTCTTTGGTCAGTGAAGACTGTGCGGCTCGGCTGCTTCTCATGCAAACACGAAAGTTTGAGCTGCTAAATACAAGGCATGAAAATTTCGACTTCCAGAGCCATCGAACCAGCTTTCGCTCTCTGATTCTGAGAATGAAAAAAAATAAATAGAGTTATCAACTTGCTGCAAACCTCAACAGTATAATTAAGCATATGTTTCATGGCAATCAACTCAGAAGAGTTTCGTTTCAAAACACGGTAAAACTCACTGGTAAATAAAACTACAAAGCGATTGTGTGTTGTCGTTTTCCAAACAAATCTCGAATCGGCTTTAATTATAAGGCATGAAGACTGAGAAACTGAAGAACTGAAAATTAGAACTACAATACACAAGCTTGCAATGATAACTTTTTATGTCTTAGTTTCAGCCAGGTTAAGTGAAAAATAACAGGCAAAAACTTTGTTTTGGTGAATGAAAATCAGTTTACCTGACGCTCTAGCCAAAATTACCCACTGATTTATTATCAACTTACCTTTTCTGAATCTATTCGACTAATTGTTTCAGTGATCTGTACCTGGTTATCCGTAAAAGCAATTTCAATAACTACAAAATAGTCAAAAACACGAGCGGCATGAAGCAGAAAAACTGAACCACACGCTGCACACAGAAGCCGAGAGCGCGCGGGATCGAGTCTTTTATCTGACTAGAAAGTGTGACTGAAAAAGAGATCGGAAATGCTCAACCTGACGCATGCGTAGACGTTTTGCTGCGGTGTTAGTTAAACCAGTTTTAAGAGGGGCCCCAGTTCCTGCTCTTCCGCGTTGTTAGAGATTACAAAATGGCGGGAGCTTGCAACCATTCATGTTGTAGGTCCCGGCAGTGGGGAAATTGTCAGAAAACGTCTGGCCGGGAGTGGGGAAATTGTCAATTTTTCTAGAAGAGTTAACGTCGTTCTTTTTTCAATATTTCACTTAAAAATATGCCTAGCTGGATAGCTTTATATATTTCTACAAAGAATATTTTCAATAATTTTGCTTTAAAAAGATATGTTTGGTTTTCACTCCATCACTTGCCTATCCCACAGTATTTGTTGCATCCGTCTAGGAAATTGTCTGCCGCCATCGTTACGTGATCAGTTCGCACATCTGGCACATGGAGGAAAAACAATTAAAGTATCGTTTAAAGAGTTAAGTTTAAAGGAAAGACACTTTCTTTGTGCGTGAATGGTTGAGGCAGAAAGGCCTAGAAAAACTTTGCGAGATATTTGAGAGCTAATATAAACTTCGTGTACTGTACGATCAATGCGGCAAGTAATACGCTGACGAAACAGTTCTGTTATGATGAGAAAATGTTTAATAGCTCATCGGTTGTTTTTTTTTTATCATTCACTATATTAAACGTCTTCGAAAATAAGAAGTATTATTAAAATTCTAGTTTACAGTTCTATAATTGATATTAATCAGATGGATGCGACTAAGGGCAATTTGCGTAGGGCGCTTCACACGTTTTGATAAGGTTATTAGAAATCCATAAATGTGGTTTTTGCAGCTTATTCACTGGAAAATACAATTTTGGTGTTGTCCCGGAGAGGGGCATTGGAATTTTTGTATGAACGCCTGTCCCCACCATGGGGCATTTGCAGCTCAGTTTCCCAAAAAAAAAAAGACAAAACGGTTAGCTCGAAAGCTAAGCTCCTCTGACCACCGTACACTCTTATCCAAGCCATTAATTTTCTTTTTTCCTTCTTCTTGTTCTCCTTTATTAGTGTATTCCTTACCTTACTATATCTAGCCGAATTTTTGAAAACATACCTCAAAACGGGCCAGAATATTCGCACAGGAACCTGGCGATAGCCAGGTTTCTGGTCACTGCGGTGAGAAAAAACATAGGGGGCTTGCTGTCCTAGTTGGTCTCATTGTCAAGCTCAGTCCCCGAGCTAACACGCCATGGGTTGGAAAGGGGCCTCCATGTCAATCCCTAGCGGGGAAGGGTGCTGCAAAAGCGTGGTACCTTCCGTTAGTCTTGCTCTGGGAGAGTCAGTGCACTGGTCATGTCTGCCTTTAGTTTGTCATGTCAAATTCTTGTAATGTTTGAGGCCCATTGGCCAATGAAAGCATTCCCCTCAAGCACTTGCCAGGCTGGGGGGGTGATTTAACCTTGAATTCTCTGCTTAGAACTTGGTTTAGTCTCAAGCATCCTCCGTCATTTAGGGCCTTTAAGCAGCTAGAGTGTATGGACAAGTCCAGAGTGTCTTTTTGATGGATTTGATTGTTTCTTTTGCTAATCAGGAACCAAGATGAAGAGTCACCATAAGAGAACCAAGGGTAAGAGCTGAGTTTCTTGGCGATATTTGTTTTAGTTGAGTCAGTTTAAGATGTGTGGGCTCCAGGAGCCCGATGGTACGGGTTTCATAAATCCGGCTAGATATATACCTGGAGTTATGAAAACTGCGTTAGCAAACATTTTGTAATTTTTCTCAACTTCCCCTGTCTAATAGCTTGTTTACTGTGTTGTCTGCTCATGTCGTGTTTTTTTTTTTGCTTGTTTTGTGGTTAGGGATTTGTGTAGAAGTGGATGTAGACAGAATTACTATCTTACCCCCCCTCCCTATTTTTTCCTTACCCACAATTCTTTGTTACAAAGCTGGTTTCGGTGCCGTTTAGCAGTTTAGTTTTAGATATTAGTCACCTTGAGAAAAGTTTCCCGGATAGTATCATGTAAAGCTCTGAGATGAGACAAAGTTATTACGATTCGCAGAGTCTGCATCGTCCAATATCGTATTTTAGTATATACACACTCAGTGATCTTGGTAATTCAAGCAATCTGATTGGTTAGCTATCTCGGACTATGACGTTATATTCACCGCGCTAGGCGGTGAATATAAAGCCGAACAAAATCGCTGTCGTGAACTGGGTGTTTTGCCAAAGTTTCATAGTAAAACCTTTTTGAAAATACACGAATATCCAAGTGCTGATGACTTTGAAGGCAAGAAAAGACTTCATGGTGTTTAAACAGCGTGATTTATAGTGGAGTGGTTTACTTTAGCTGACTTTTTGTACGCTCGAAGCTATGTTTACCACTACAGAGGAAAACGAGGTCGCTTTGTCACTGTTTTGTGATTTCGGGATTTTCTCGCAAGACCAATTTTGCCTATAAATAGAGTTAATTTATGGAGAAGAGAGGAAGGCAAATATTTTCGAAAATTGTACGTGCCAGCAAGTTAACACGGCAAAGAACTTTGGAGATAATCAACGCTCACCTTGATCGCAGCCGCTGTTGACAGCATTTGTAAGAAGCGGCGAAGAAAACTTTCTCATTCACTGTGAGTTGACGGAAACAAATAAAGCTCTAGATACTTTTCTTCTCAGAATTGGGTAGTAATTTAAATTTTCGGCGTTTTCTTTTAAACCGTTGATGCTAAAGCTTACAAAACTCGATACAAAAGGATTAAAACTATCATTTGCCATGTTTGAAGATACTGTAAAGATCTAACTTTTGCGCATTCACTGTTTACGGCTTCGTGTTCACGCATGAATTTTCACCCGTCAATCAAACTAATCGTTTTTTAATGGTTTCCTTTCTGATTCTGTTGAGATCACTTCGTGTGAATATACTAAAACAATTATTCACCTCAGGCTCAGTTAATATTGTTGAATAATCCCCTCGACTTCGTCTCGGGGATTATTCAACAATATTAACTTCGCCTTCGGCGAATAATTGTTAAATATTCTCGTTTTATTTGGCTAAACGGATCAATCACCCTGATACGGGCTGAGACTGAAAGGTACGTTATTGTTCGCTTTTCTAAGGTGACCACTAAGTCTTTGGCCTCGGTAACAGGCTCTTAGGAGTCAAATGAATTAGTTGAGAGCGAAATTGCAGGTGAACTTTGACGCGGGCCAAGACTTTTTTTCTGATGTGAAAACAAGGCTAAAGTGATCTGCGGACCGTGTGACTGTACATCCGGGAACTTGAAAAAGACGAGTGCAAGAGAAAAGTCCAGAGGTGTTTATCTGGCAATAGGCTGAGTTTTTCCGAGTTATTCGATGATATTTCGCTTATGTTAAACGTGAGAAGATAATGCGTGGTTGTGGATAGTCTTATCAGTGCCGCGAAAGTATGTGATTGCGTGATTTCCGCATGGCGTTGACAGGTATGTGATCGCGTGGTTGAACTGCAGTTTGGCTAAAATAATCTGTGCCAGCTATTAATATTGTTTCGTCGGTGTTTAGCTTAGCTGATTGTACCTTGGAAAAGCAACTCTTGACTCAGGAAAATTGGATCTAGGTCTAGTTTCAGCGGGTTCTAATGGCATTGAACCATAGGCCGATTTGTACAGATAAGAAAGTGATAATTTGTGTACTACGTTTCATTCAGTTTGTTGTCTATTCCATGCGGAATCCAGTTGTTTATCGACACGCGAAAAAAGTAGTGTTTTGCTAACTATGTAAGTTGTTATGTAAGCCTTAACCAGGCACTCTTTCGCTGCAGCTCACTCAACTTGAAAATTTCTAGACTGAAACGACACCGGTTTGAAACTTCGCGAAATCAGTTTACTGAATAAATGTTCTAAAATTTGCGTAGCTTTGCGTCATTCTAAATTTGGAGCTGTTGGAATGCTTCAAGGGACCATTAACATACCGCCCGGCGTCAGATAAAGGCTTTTAATCGGCCTTTGAATGAGTTTTATTGTTTTAAATCCAGGTATATATATAATGTAAATATTTCATAAAAGTGTAAATAAAATTGAATTGAATTGAATTGAAATACCTAACAAATGCCAGGGGAATTGGCACGCTTGGAATTGACTGAGCCATTATGCCGCGCCCAAGCACTTGCTTTTCTGTCGACGACGGAATTCTCGATTGATGGCGGCTGGCTAAACAAACGAAAGTTACTGTCCAACTCTCTTCGAAGAAACTTTTCATTTCTCACCACGTCCACCCCTTCTACTGCTGCCACTACGTCCGCTGAAAAGAGCTACGCATTCGCAAAGAGCTGCTGCAGCCATAGACTGATGTTTTTTTTTGGGTGTCAGCACAAAGGGCGCGGGGGCGATTTCCCCGTTCGTAGTTACACCAAGACGTACAAGCTCGTCATCGGACAACTCTGATACATTTTCAGGCTCAATTCTTTTGGCAGCAAATTTCGGAATAAGAGACTAGAGTTTGAGGTCCTTCAGAATACTCTTCATGATGTTTTCTTCCTTCACAAGCTAATCGAAATGTGATGGTTGCCTGCTTCCACCATTTTGTTATCTTTAACAACAAGGAAGAGCAGGAACTGGGGCCCTCTTAAAACCGGTTTGACCTAGTTCCTAGTAACGAGTAAAGCCTGGGTACTAGAGCTTTGTACCGGAAGTGAAGTCAACAAAACATAAACACGAAACCACATCACATAATGAACAAACCACATCACATAATGAACAAACCACATAATGAAGTAAACACAAGACAAAACGAAGTAAGAACAAGACATAATGAAGACACCACAAGACATAATGAAGTAACAACGAGACATAATGAAGAAACCACAAGGCATAATGAAGTAACCACACCACGCAATGAAGAATCCACACCACATAATGATAAATAACCACATAAGAAAGTTATGGCTTTCCATATTACCCTGCGAACAGAGTGTCCCTCGATCTTCCGAGATAAGTCGGTTGCCTAGTCCCTATACGGGGTCTTTCCAAGCCCTCTCGGTCAATGCATTTCGGTGACGTATCCGAGACGAACGGCCGGGAGACGCCTAGACATTCTCGCAGTGCGCATGCGTGAGCATTTTTTGCATTTTTGAAAAGTTCCCACGTTCAACTGCAATAATCTATAAATAACTTTGCGCGCGTGAATATCCTTCGCTTAAAGATCGGCACTAACCTGGTTTCTGTTATCAAAGAACAAAAATATTACTTGAATCGGAAAGAATACTACTGTATAACGTGCGAGTAATTTCTCCTTTAGTTCATTTTCAAATGAACCATTAAAATGATATTTCTTTATTGATAAAAAGATTTGAAACAGTTTGTTGACATTCTACCAAATTCATCAGCCTGTCCGATTAGTTTGATAAGCTTCCAAATCCAAAAATTAAATTACATGAAATATTTCGAAGCGAAATGATAACGAGAAATTTATAGGAGTAAGCAAAAATAGAGGAACGAAAGATAGCTTTTCATATCCAAGAATAAATATAGACTTATTTCTTTAGCTTACCTTCCGATTCTTGATCAAATAATTTTTTTCCGACGCTGTTTTGCTTAGCCTACAAATAGTTTTTGAGATGAAATAAAGTTCAAATTAGTTTAATGAGATAAATGAAAAAGAAAGGCCAAAGGACTTTCAACAGAGAATAAAAATGCTTGGTTAACTCTCTATCCTCTGTACTCTCCATGGCTGCTGGACATGTTTCATCAGCGCGGAAAAGTTATTGACAGCTCGCCCGCTTCCAAAAGCTCCGCCCCAAGTGAGACAAAATGTCTCACTTCTCCGAGTTTGTCTAGGCCTCAAAAACTTCCTCGGACCACGTGACCCGAAACGCATCGGCCGCGAATAATAATGAGGCCTGGGGACTAGGCAAGATAAGTCGGGAAGAGGAGGGATTGGGAGACTCTGCCTACATCCTCGACTATTCATATTGAGCATGCTCGAAATTCGGACCTCGTAGGAAACAGAAGTTGACTTCAAAGAGTTTGTGATTGGTGGATTTCGATCCGTTTTGTGTGTTTCAAGGTTCGTCGCTTGTGATCGTAATTATCACGGCAGCACCTGTAAGCTGGATTTTAAATCTCGGAAAATCAAGTAGCACTCGAAAAGTAAACCAGAAGTGACGAATGCTTGTTGAATATTAAAACCATCGATGATTTAAATGCAGCTTAGATTCATAAGTCTCATGATCGTATTTTAAAATAATGTTATGAATGAGCAAACTCAAAAGAATAGACAGAGAAATGATTTTTTGAAAATTTTTATTCAAAAGCCCATTAGTTTATCCTTAAAACACTTCGCGTAACACTTGCACATGGATCGTGGATCAGTTCACGCAATTAAAATCGGCTGAGCACATGGTAAAATCTAAAACAAAATCCATCTCAAATCGGGCTGCATTTTCTGACTTTTCTAAAAAGGACTAGCGCTCCGCTGCAGTTTACTAAACGTTGAATCGATAATTTTCTTAAAATCACTTCGTGAAAATCGAAACGGCAGCGAATTGTTTTGTTACAGAGCGTGGGCGCAGAGAAAGTCAGCGATACTCCAGAAGACGCGTGCGTGCACAGATGAAACTGGTTTATCCAGTATGAAACTTGTCTGACTCATCCAAATCGAGGGATGATCGGCAAATCAAAGGAATTTGAAGATGTCGGCAGAGTCGCTTCCTCTTTCCCGACTTATTTAGGAAAGATCGAAGCGACTCTGCTAGCAGGGTACGCCAGGGTGGTACGTTGGTTGTAATTTTTTAACAAATTTTCCGGGATATATCAACTAATATAACTTCTGAGATAGATTCTCGATTTGGATTTCGAGTAGGAGTTTTGAGTTAGGATTCGAGGTGGATATTTTGACCTCAATCTCTTCTTGTGCATAAAGAAATAACTGTTAAAGCAGAAGATCACTGAATTCCGTGCAAAGTGTATCTATTGCACTTGTATTGTACACAGTATGCGTTTAATAGAGGTGAAGACAAGAAGGGCCTGTTTACATGGAAGGAGGAAGATCCTAAAAAAGCACCAGGAAGATCCTAGAATGAGGAACAACTTTTCGTTGGGTTTACCGTATGCAGAAATTTCCGCCCGTGATTACTCACTCAACAACGTGCCGCCATTTTAGTCTGGTTTGTCCCTGGTACTAGGATCTCCTTAGCGAAAGCAGTTTACATGGTGTTTAGATAGGATCTTTCTAGTACTTGGATCTTCCTACCTCTCAGCTATGAAGATTCTACTACTAGGAAGATCCTAGCGCTAGGAACAAGTACAACTTTTTGTATGTAAACCTACTACAGAAAACATATGGTGCTAGGATGTTCCACCTCCTGGAACATCTGGAATCTTCCCGGTGCTAGGATCAGCTACCTCCCCTAATGTAAACAGCCCCTATTCGTTGGGACGGCTACGGAACAGATGCCCGTGACTGCCAGGTAAAGGTTTAATACAGGTTAATTTTGCAATAATTAAGGAAATGATTTTAGGAAAAGTAACCACTTTTAATCCTCGTATTAAAATGCCCGAGGCCTCTTGATACAGATTTGACTGTGATTCGAATCCTAACTCGAAATTCAACTCGAATCCTGACTCGAAAATTCATCTCGAAACTCCATTTAAAATCCAAGTCGAAATCCTAACTCGGCAAATAGTTATAGTTTAGCTAGTTTGTTGTTTTCTTTTTCTAAGTGGTAACGAAGTAACATACTGGTTTCTTTTGTCAGGTGGTGGCAGCGGAGTTTCAGTTACTGTGATTATTGGTGGAGTTTCCGGTGGCTGCGTTGGAACCATATTCTTTTTCTGCATTATATGCTATTGCTGTTGTAAATGAAACGCATTGCGTGCAATAGTGACTCATTCGGGCGAATAGCTCCTAAACACAATGATCGTTGACCATAGATCAAGCAAACTTTAATCATCTTAACTTTAGAAGATCTTATGTAGATTTTCATGTGTGATAAGTAAGGCCCTTGATATGACAATGAATTTTATTCTCATGCAAATATGACTAATTTTCATAACAAAGGTTTTGCACATAGCCTCGTTTTGAAAGTAGGAACTTTTGGAATTCGCGAACGGCCTTTTCGCTCCAAAAACTTAGCCTTAGATTAGCCATTTCTATTTGCGGGCGTGTCAAACTTGTAACTGTTTCTGAAAAGCAATAATTAATCACGGTGTGCTTGAATGTGTGTACGTACTGGAGACGTTTCCTTCAAAAGATTGTTTTCCTCTGTAGAACTTAAGTGCTCATCTTTGAATACAGGAGCTAGTTTAACGGCGACAACATAACTGTTTCATGATTATTCAATTTTTCTTCCCTTGGCGTTTAGCCTTTGCGAACCTTCCTCCTTGAACATTTTTAGTTCGCAGTATTTTTCAAATATTGGGCCTCGGTCCACGTCTCAGCTCTTGGGTTTTAGCTGCAGGGTGGTTAGATTTACTTTTTGGTATTTCTTCTTCTTGAGTTTTTTTTTAATTCTTGAGAAAGCTTGCGACATCGTAAAAATCTCGGAAATTCCCTAAAATTCTCAGAAATTTTCAAGGGCTTGTCTACCAGAATTCCAGACCTTCTTGGGAATTCCGAGAATAATGTGAATATCAATTTGACAAGGTAATTCAAAGACAATTCTTTAGGATTCTCAGGAATTCTCGGGAATTAAAGTCTCGCCCACGCTTAAATCAAATACCCATCTTTCTGTAAAAGATCGTTAATACAGAAAAGACACAAAAGTAATGCAACGAGTTTGGGGCAAAAAATTATTATTATAAAATAAAACTCAGGGAGGGTGGAGAGGGTGAAACAAGCGAGGAGAAACCGCGAATAACGGTAACAGTAACAATATCTTTTTTATGCCTTTCTCTCCATGTGGAGGTATTGGTCCGTTTACAATTAATAAAGGTATTTTACATAGTCAAATTTATTAATCTTATGTTCAAAAAGAGGAAAGAATTATTGGAAATGTAACCTGATAGAAAACCATTGATTTTTTTTTTATAAAAAAGTAACAATAACGTCTAACTGATGATTCACAAATTATAAAAAAATCAATGGTTTTCTATCAGGTTACATTTCCAATAATTCTTTTCTCTTTTTGAACATAAGATTAATATATTTGACTATTATTTGACAAGTATTATTATTGTCTCCTGTTGTCTCCTGCATGGGCAGTAAGATTCACAAAGGCAACATCCTTTGACCTTACATGAAATACAATGAAATAGCTCTCCTGTCGCAAATGACCTTCGAGACGGCGCTGAACTCTATATAACCGACAGGAAACACACTATGGGGATGTGTCTCAAATTTTAAAATGTTTTGACAAAGCGAAAACCCCCAAATTATAGTCTTGCTGACGTTTAAATCAAATACCCATCTTTGTGTTCCTTTCGGCTAATCCATAAACGGTTTTTTGATCCTAGATTTGCCGGATTTCGCGGTCGAAAGGAACGTCAAATCCGAAATTAGATTTGTAACCTTGGTAACCTTTCCCAAACGCGTGCATTATGCTTTACAGCCTCTCAAGAAATGACGTGTTTTCTACTGTTTAACAAATTATGCGATTATACGGTTCACGATGGAACATAAACAGATGAAGAAAGAAGCGCGTTCAAGTTGAAAATTATCTAAGGCCGTTGTCGGCTCAGTTTCGTAGCTCGGATTTTTTTTATGTAACACGATCGAGTGCCTGTCGCATCTACGAGCGAGTTTGTAGAAAGATAGCAGTCCATTTCTCCCTTTTACTTATTTGTGTTTTTACGCAATCTTTAGTGACAAATGGTTAGCACATGGATATTTTACTGTACCAGGAAAAATCTCCCAGTGTTTTCAGCTGTTTAGCCTGTTCCAGGCGTTCGCATAGTGGAGTACGGCGCGAAGTAAGAGAGAGGGAAAAAATATGGGGGGAGACCACCCCGTCACTGTTTTTTTTTTCTGCTCACATCTCTTTGAGCCGTCCCCACGATCTGGGGACCGTGGGGATCTGGGGAACGTGGCACAGTCTATCAGAAGTTTTATGGCAAATGGCAGTAACAAGGAAACTCAACGGGTATTCTTCAACTGGAAATACCGCTGGCATCATCTGACAAATTTCGGATCCATTGTGAATGGAACAGCGTAGATCACCAATCCGTTAATCTAGATTTGGATTCCTCGGATTTCAAATCCAATGAATCCTTTTTCAAAATGGATTCACAGGATCAAAAATCCAGACTTGGATTTTATGAAATGAACGTGAAATCCGTTTTAAGATCTAAAATTCGTTTTTGGATTCAGCCTTAGCTCTGTATTGGAACATGATAAAACATGATAAAATCACCAAAAGCTTTTATTGTAAATGGAAACTCGGTTGCCCCGTTGATATACAGGGTACAATAAAACGTAATCAAGCAAGAGAGGTTAACTGGACAGAGGACGCCGACTCTAGCCTTTTAGATACTTAATTTTTTTTAGTGAAAAACTGCAAGGGGTGACAGGCTGTACATCTATACCGGCGTGAAACCGTGTGTTGACCAAATATTGTGGCTTTTACAAGCATGTCCTTTAATATGATTCCCCTTTCTTGTAGGAAATAAAAGGTCGCTCTATAAATATTTGGCAAAGTAGTGATTGGTTTTGTATCAGATTTCCTCTTTTTCATAGCTCATTTTCAAGTGATAGCCACTAAGATTTCAATTGGTATTTTGTCACGAAAGGCGCGGCTTTTTTCTCTGTGAGTTACCCCCTCCCCCAATTCAACTACATTTGAAAACGAACCCCCATATCCAATGCGTTGAAAATTTCCCCCGCCCCCTATCTCTAAACATCACTCACCCTTAGTCATAAATAATATAGTTACAGTCGACCTGAGCGCTGATGTCGTAAAAAGCACTTTGATCTCCTGCATTTGTAGAACTAGAATTAAAACTTATAAGTTATTCGGTTTGATACTGTTGCTGTGCAGTAACTGACCACTATAGAAAGGTTAAATGGCCCCAAGAGAAACTGATACAATGCTTATGCAACATTTTGGAGTGACCAACAAAGAGTATTTTCATTGGTATGTTATGGCATTTTAGAACATAAATATATAAAATATATATAAAATAAATATATAAAATGAAATATATAAAACTGGCATGAAACTACTTATTTTTTAGTTGAAGTAATAAACATTTAACGACAATTAAGGGAAAAACCTGGTCACGTGGTACAAATTCACTTCTGCCGTTTCGCGTAAACGGAAATCTTGATCTCTCTATTTTTAGCCTGCAATTTTAAACTTCAGGTTATTATACATGCATCGCATGTATGTAGCCAGCATTTGTTTGAACTTCCACTAAGAATGAATGGAACTCACAGATCCCTGCAATTAGATCACTCGCATTTGGGTCTTCTTTCACTCGGAATCTGATACGCGTGCTCGGACAATCTATCGAACAATGCACAGCGTTGGACTAAAAGCGTTTTCATCTTCCATCGTTGTTGCCCGCACTCCTTAACCTTTGGTTATTTCTAGTTTTCACATATTGATCTCCCTTAAACTCTATTTTCATCTTAATATCAAAGACTGAAAGTGTGGAGCTGTAAAAACAACAGGGGCACCCAACGGATCTGTTCCTCACATTATCTGTTCTACAGAGAAAATTTTGCTGGCTGGGAACTGAGGTTTCGGCTGTTCTGCTGGGAAGTAAAGTCTTAAATCTGCGGTCAAGAATTTATCAAATGTATCAAAAATTCTTGCTGGAGATATTTTATCCCTCTAATTTGTTAGAAATTTTTCTTGGGTGTATATCCAGCTGGGTATCAGGAGTAATCGGCTCCTCTCAGGTGGCTCCTCTATGTGCGCGAATTGTGCGCGCTGAGTCGCGCGCTGATTATTTATTTACCGCTGATCAAAAAATCTGCAGGTGAGCACCGTTGTTAGAAATTCGAAATCAGGCTACGCTCCGCCACTGGATAACTGGCAACGATTCACTGGCGGTTAGGACGATTCATGAGATTCATGTTTATGCAAAAGGTAAGGACTATTAAACAGCCTGCTGTATTATATTCAAGTCGGACTGAATAGGATTCACAAAAGGTACATCTAGGGAAGGCTTAGTGACGTTCCCTTTTCATTACCATTGTAGTTGTTGTTATTCTTGGTTGACAAGCGAGAGATAAGGCTGTGTGTTATTTATTTTGACCGTATATACTCGAATCAGCGCCGCAATTTCCAAGCAACCCTGCGGTGCTTATTTGAATACAGATTTTTTTTTTCTACTGGCTGGTAAACATGGAGAAGGCCGCTCTGCTGGCTGGGAGAATAGCCATCTAGCCTGCTGGGAGTAAGGAACAGATAAATTCTTTCCAGCAACACAGAAAAGCGCTTGAAAATGCCTTAAAAGCATCTAAATTTTCGTTTTCTGTAGTTAACGGCTCATTTTCAGAAAAATGTTCGATGGGTGTCCCTGAAACAAGGGAGGGAAAAAACGGAAAAACTTATGGTACAAAATTGTGTCAGAATGGACTGAGACAGTGCGTTTTGTGCCAAAGAGATTCTTCAGAAAAATTATGATGTCCTTTTGATTCAGTGCAAAAAAATAAGATTCACGGTATGAATTATTGTGCCTTAGCATACAGAGTTCTCCTGAACATAGCCGACTGAATGCCTTTGAGAGGGTCTGAATGGGGGTCCACTTGTCGGTTGTCGGTTAAAATTCAGTTACTTTGTCGGTAGTCGGTTAAAATTTTCGATCTTTGTCGGTAGTCGGTTATACTTTTTGATTTTTGTCGGTTGTCAGAAAATCTCATTTAATAAGTAAAAGCGCTCGTTAATTAATAAGATTTTTTATGTATTTCACCCAGTTTCAAGACTTTGATCCCTAAGGAAAGAGTAAAACTTGTAAGAATGCATCATTTGATTGCACTGAAACTTCATTAACTCTTGTTTGTTTATGCAACATGATCGTTTATTTCACCATTTTTTGCCAAATGAATATCATAAGTACTGATAAAATTACCAAAGCTTTTATTGTAAATGCGAACTTGGTTTCCTTGTCGACTACAGGGCACAGTAAAAAGTAATTACTTGATCATGGACTCCAGCCTTTTGGATACTTAAATTACTCTTACTAAAAA